TCGACTCCCACGTGGGTCTTTCCGCGATCATGACAATATTAACTTGCTCAAGTCTAGGGTTAAACTATATCGAGTGGCTATTGAAGCTTGTACAGGATGAACATTATTGTTAAGAAAAGAAAAAGTGTTTAATATAAATTAGTCTGTTAGTAGAGTAATCAACATTCTATAGTGTCTGTAAGTGTAAAATAGTCTAAAAATCACGTTAGGCGTGATAATGATACTTCATATATGGACTGCACCAAGTAATTGGGTATCAATTATAACATAAAGAAAATTCAATACGTACATTCGGAAAATTAGTGTATTTTTGCACATATTCAACAGAGAAAACAGAAAAAAAAGCGTTATTCGTTAAAACCGCCAAAAAGACACGAACACTGCCTGCCTCTGCCTCAACTGCCAGGCCGAATCAGGTAATTTTCGTTCAGCTTAGGCTTTGCCATTGGACTTAGTCTCCCGCTTACCGACAACCTGGATATAGTAATACAGATGATTCAGATTACGATACCCCGGTGGTCATGTAGATGAGTTGATAGGATCTTGAAAATCCTCAGTTATCAACTCTAGGGTAATGTAACGCAAGTGGGTTAGAGCAATGTCCTTCTGGAATACGTAGGAACACGCCCTCAATCTAGGGATTGAATGTCGTGTCTGCTTCCACGATGGAGGCGATCCTGAGGTCCTTAACGAAGAAATAGCAAAGGTATGACAAGTTTCTGTAGGCTCAAGATCATCAGAGACATAACAAGGTAGCGACATATGTGCAATGGAAGATAAGCAGGAAGCACAAAATCTAAACCACTGAGAGGTCGTACGAGGATCTACCAGATACACTTACCGAAAATAACGATATAACTATCCTCTGGGACATCCAATTTCAAACTGATAGGGAAATAAAAAAAACAGACCTGATATTATCATAAAAGACAAGGAATTGACATCTGGAATTGCACTATCTGAGACAAACACCCCATGAAAATTGTTAAGAAATTTTCCAAATACAAGGACCTGGAGATCGATGTGCAGGAAGAAGACTGAGACTGCCTCGGGAGAAATAGGAAGGGACAATTTTACAGTGTCAAATCAACATATAAATTGCTCAAAAGATCGCCCTACTAGGAACATCCCATATACTAAGAAAAGTGCTATCAGTTAAATGACAATTCTCCTATAGAGCCTAAGGACAATAGTCTGAACCCGGTTCTACAGGATACAAAGCAGGAAACATAACGTACACAAATAATAATAATAATAATAATAATAATAATAATCTATCAAAATAAAAGGACTTTCAAGCAGAAATCTAAAAAAATAGGGCACATGGGAACATCAATAATTTCTGTTGTAGTCGGAACCCGCGGATTGATTGGAAAGGGTTACAACAGACTCATTGAAGGAATTTTTAGTAGCCCATACCTTAAATACTAAAATTGTATTAACAAGTACAGTTCGCCCATTAAAAGTTTTTTTTTTACCTACGTAAATTGTCTGTAATCTTAGTGGTTTTTTTTTGCTTTTGTTTTACAAAAATTATCGATGAAAAAAGTCATGAAATCATTTTTGATCTTATGTCTCTGGTTGGGACCCGGAAGGTAATGTGTATACAACGGAAATCAAAGGAAATAATAATAATAATAATAATAATAATAATAATAATAACAACAAATTCAGAAAACTTAAAATTTTCCATTTTTTAAAATATTTCGATACAGTTTTAAGAAAACTTAATGGAACCATGGTTATGAGTTATTAAGTGAGTTTGCTAGACACGACTGTGGGGATATAGAAGTTAAGAATCGATCCACGCAGCGTCTTCTTTCTGACAAACAATATGGCATTTGCTTCTCTAGGTCAACTGCTGTTGTGTTAACGGCTATTACGGGAAGATTCTTTGAAAATTTAGAATGGTAAAGCACATTCTGTTGTTTGGGATATCTCGAAAGCGTTTTACAGGCTTTGGCATTTTGGACTTTACACGTCAAAGGGTTATGGCATATTTCATCCAACTTTTAATTTGATTCAGTCCTTCTTATCATGTCTTGAGAGGAAAGTTATCTGGAACGGCCAATCCTCTAGATCTTTTGAAATAAATACTGATGAATCCTTAGATCTCTATCGTCGGACCTACTTTGTCACTAACATTCAACAACGACTTTCTTGATGTCATCAGTTCTCGAATAGGTATCTGTACTGTCTTAATGGTAAATCTGATAGGCAATATAAAACTAGTAGCTGATCTAAAAAAACAAAACATCAAACTCTTGTTAACTGCGACAAGAAATGACTTACATATGAAACCCTCTCTACTTTAATCGATTACGAGAAACATGTTTTCGCGAGAGGTTTTTTACTCACATGAACTGGGAGGATTATATTGACTCAATTGCTAGATCTGCTGTAAGAAAAAATTCTCTGCTGTGTCATGTAAGGCACTTTTTTCATACAGAATCTGTCATTCACAATTACAAGTTGCATTTATCGTCTTCCTTCGGGTGAAATGATTACATCTATCTATCTATCTATCTATCTATCTATGTCTTCCAAAACTACCTTTGTATCTATCCCTGTGTATCCACATCTATCTATCTATCTATCTATCTATCTATCTATCTATCTATCTATGTCTTCCAAATCTACGTTTGTATCTATCCCTGTGTATGAACATATCATGTCACCATTCTATCTATCTATCTATCTATCTATCTATCTATCTATCTATCTATCTATCTATGTAAAATTCCAAATCCTGGAAACCCCAGCTTAAGAGACATACATTTCTATCTATCCCTGAACTTTGTGTCCACTTCATCTATTCTATCTATCTATCTATCTATCTATCTATGTCTTCCAAATCAACAGACTTTGAATATTTATCCCCTACCTTAAATACTAAAATTGTATTCCACATTAAAAGTTTTTTTTTACCTCTAAATCTATAATCTTATCTATCTATCTGAAATCTATCTATCTATCTATTTATCTAATAATAATTTAAAATAATAACAACAAATTCAGAAAACATTTCTATATTTATCCCTGTGTTTGTCCACATCTATCTATCTATCTATCTATCTATCTATCTATCTATCTATCTATCTATCTATGTCTGAAAAAAATACCTTTGTATCTATCCTGTCATGTCTTGAGAGGAAAGTTATCTGGAACATCTATCTATCTATCTATCTATCTATCTATGTCTTCCAAATCTATGTCATCAGTTCTCGAATAGGTATCTGTACTAAAATTTTGTATCTATCCTAGTAGTGATCTAAAAAACAAAACATCAAACTCTTGTTATCTATCTATCTATCTAGGTTTTCTATCTATTCTATCTATCTATCTCTAAGAAAAAATTCTCTGCTGTGTCATACTTTTATCTACAGAATCTGTTTCTACATTTCTATCCCTGTGTCCACATCTATCCTCTATCTATCTATCTATCTATCTATCTATCTATCTATCTATCTATCTATCTATCTATCTATGTCTTCCAAATCTACCTTTCTATCTATCCCTGTGTGTCCACTATCTATCTATCTATCTATCTATCTATCTATGTCTTCCAAATCTACATTTCTATCTATCCCTGTGTGTCCACATCTATCTATCTATCTATCTATCTATCTATCTATCTATCTATCTATCTATCTATCTATCATCTATATCTTCTATCAAATCTACCTTTCTATCTATCCCTGTGTGTCCATCTATCTATCTATCTATCTATCTATCTATCTATCTATCTATCTATGTATCTTCCAAATCTACATTTCTATCTATCTATCCTATGTGTGTCCTACATCTATCTATCTGTATCTATCTATCTATCTATCTATCTATCTATCTATCTATCTATCTATGTCTGTCCAAATCTACCTATCTATCTATCCCTGTGTGTACATTATCTATCTATCTATCTATCTATCTATCTATCTATCTATCTATCTATCTTAGTACGTTTACATTTCCTATCTCTCTCTCTCTCTATCTATCTATCTTTTGGCATCACACACACATACACACTCACACACACACAAGCGCGCGCATGTCTCATCACATATGTTCTTGTCTGTGTACTTTAAAGATGTTTATAATGTATTTATCCTCTATCTATCAATTTCAAGTCTTTCTACATGGAATAAAAGCCATTCTTTCTTCTGTTGATAACACAGGACACTGGCTGTAAAAGTAATGGCACTGAAACAGATCGACATATAATAAAAGTTTTGTTAATGGTATGCAACGTCATAAATAATAACTTGACACTGTGTGCCATTCCATACGGATTTCCTAATGTCCACTCGCGGTTGGGTGGTGTTAAAGGCGAACCACACTGATACGTATCGGTCAGCGTGTAACTCGAAGACGGCGAGGAAACCATAAAAATATGGCCGTCGGATGTTTAAACGCTGTCCTCGATTAAAGCGAAGATCTAAACTGTCCTATGGTTATGGCTGCTCGCGGTCAGGAAAAGTCGGCGAGTTCCAACTTGCAAGAGTTGATTTTATGATAGAGAAATTAACTGATTAATTCCGGTGATATTTCCTACCTATATTTAATATACACACCGGTGTGTGTGTGCGTGTGTGTGTGTGTGTGTGTGCGTGTGTGTGTCTTGCGTAACGGTTACCTGCGCTGATAGTGAAATCGGCGTGCCGAGTTCAAATTCAGAACGAGCCAGCTTTATCCGTTTCTCGCCAATTCCCTTGGAAAAAAAAGCATGTATTCATTTTCAACCCGGTGTAGATTTAAAGAGCGGGGACACTTGCCCTGGATGAATTGGAAACTATATTGAAGAGGGATGGACCACGCCAGGTTATTTTGCTTTATATACACCCACTGTTGCATTATAGCCGGCTGTCGTGAGTGCTGCTTTTCCCCTTTGAATACTTTGATGGATGAAGCAACCAAAATGACTTAGGAGATAAATCTAGGTACTTGGAAACAACTTCAACTGGATTATCCGACATGACGGCATTTTAAAAAGCTACTATAAA